AGCAGGCAGTTAAAATGAGTTTTATCATTGTTGGCTGTTATGGGTAAAACGTAGCTGGTGGGAATTAGTCCTTGAAATGGTAATTTTTCTATAAAATCAGGTATACTTTCAGACAGTGACTGAAAAGTTATTTAGTATGTGATTGTCTGAAAAAACAGATGATTGCAGAATCAGCTGTTTCGATTGCTTGAAGATGTGTGAAGATACACAGTCTTTGTTTATGTAAAGAAACATGTTTTGCCCTCTTACAAAGGTGCTTAAAAGCAGAAATTCTCATGCATGGTAATTCACGTGGCCTTTCCTGTTATATATTAATAGGACGGACAGAACCCAGGTCCTCCACCGTTGATACCGGGACTGGGGCAGCAGGGAGGACAAGGTCGTCTCGGCCCTCACAGCCAAGGACCTGGTCTTAATAAAGGTAATTATATATCGTGTCTGTTCTTCTATGAGCAACTCTGCAACAAGAGACTGTTCCAGTGCAGTGCCTCTAGGAAGAAAAGGCTATAGCAGAGCACGGGACCTTGGCTCAGAGAGAAGTTTCCATAGGCTTGTGGCAGGAATATAGAGGAGAAGCGTTTCCCCAAAGAGTATTTAATGTGAAATGTATAGCGTGTGCTCTGGAGAAATGTGCAAACTAGAGCATCCTAGAAGTGTTCTTAGAAAACATTACAGAAATTTGCTATGATTTTTTCCTTCAAGGTGACTCCCGTGGTCCACCAAACCATCACATGGGCCCTCTCTCAGATAGAAGGCACGACCAGAACAGTGGTGGTCCTGATCATGGGCCTGAGAGAGGGTTGTTTCGAGGTGGCCAGGAGTGGGGTGATGGTAGAGACAGCAGGGGCATGCCAGATAGACGAGGACCTCACCCAGATTTCCATGATGACTTTGATCGACCAGATGACTTCCGTGACGACTTCCATCCAGATAAGAGATTTGGCCATCGATTACGGGAATTTGAGGGGAGAGGAGGTCCCCCATTACAAGATGAAAAATGGAGACGCGGTGGACCTGGGCCTCCCTTTCCTCCCGATCACAGGGAATTTGAAGGAGGGGGTTCAAACCGTGGGCCTCCTGGTGCTTGGGAAGGACGGAGACCTTCAGATGATAGATACCCACGGGATCCTGAGGATGCACGCTTCCGGGGAAGACGCGATGAGAGGTAAGAATAAATCTACTCGTTGTTTTGGGGTAAAGGGTGAATGGAGGGAGATCTTTCTTCCTGGTTTCCTTTTCATTAAGGAGTCTATCTGTTTCAGATTTATAAACTGGAAACCAATAAGGAAATGAAAACTCTAATATACCTGAGTATAGAGTCCATAAAATCATTCAGTAATAGAAGAAAACTTGAAAAATGGTCATTGTACACAGCAGCTTCCGTGTCTTTAAACAGTAAGTAAAGAGAAGGGAGGAAATTTGTAGAGAAGATCAAGTGACACAGGATGAAGATTTGAGATCGTTTTGATGAAAATTGAGAGGAAACTTGAAGGTTAAAGTGACAAACTTTTGAACGCTAGAAATGGAATTTGAGACTTTGTCTCCAGTCACAAACTACAGCATGACTGTAGAGGCTGTAGAGTGAGATGTAATATACTTGTAAGGAGCAGGAACAGTGATCCTCCTATCAAATGTTAAGGGGCAGAGCTACTGCATCTGTTGGACTGTTGAGACTATTTTCTCATGTTTTTGCTTGTAGGAATTTTCTTTCTTTCTGACTTATTTCTTAATGCCAAGCGAAGAACTCAGAAGTAATCTAGTTTATAGCAATGTCCACGTCATTGCTCGCAGTTTCCACATGAATCACAAAGGGACGAATTTGCTTCTAGTTATCAATGTAAATATGGAGGAATTGCTCTAAGTCAGCAAGATTAACTGTCGTTGAAAGTTGCTCCAGATTTATGCAAGTTTAACAGTATAATTTGGCCTCCAAGTCTAAGCCTCTCACTGACCACCAACTCCATATGTATAGAAACGTGTACTTGTACAAAAATATTGTGGTCTCCACATAATGTGAATTTTGTGTGTTTTAGTTGCCTTTTTAATCATTTTCTTACATTCCTTTTACTTTACATCTATACAGCTCTTCTTTTAGCTATTTTCTACCTAGCTCTGTAAAGATGTACCTTCCTTTTGTGTGAAGAGTATGAAAAGAAATGAACAGTAACTAAAAGAAGGTAACAATTAAAGCCATTTTAAAAAAGTAAGAGTAAAAATAGACAGCATCCAAGCTGAACGGTCTGCATTATAGAATTCTGAAAGATACAGCAGACAGCGTTTTTAAACGTTCAGGAGAGATTTTCTGAATCTTGTATCGGAAATGTTTAGGGACTGGGAAAGATTTTATTACTAGCCTGATTTTAAAAAGGTTTCAAGAAGAGTGTCCAAGAAACTTGTGACCTGTAAATCTGACTTCTGAACTTGGAGGAGTCTATTTGTCACAGAACAAGTATTTGTACAGCTAGTTTGGTTTAAAAAGAAGGAGCACAGAGCTATAAAGGGCTTTATTGTGCTTAGCAAACTTAATGAATTCCTTTGAGTGAAGGTGGATTAGATGCCGTGTACTGCAGATGCTGAGGTGAACCTAAGAACCCCAACCCGCTCATTTAGCTGGCTTGGTTTGGAATTTAGACTGTAACTGGTTCGATCAAGCATGAGAGGGATGTGTGTGTATGTGTGTGTTTCTCTCTAATTTCCCGTCCTTTTCATCCCTGTCCTGTTCTTACTCTACCTGTGCATATCAACCTGATGCTTCTACTGCAGAGACCTGCCTCTTCCTGCCTGCTAATCTGCACAGTGTGTAGTTCTGTACATTAAGGTCCTAGGCCTCAAGGAAGACGACCTGAGAGCGGTCAAACAGGAACTGAGCCCTATACAAGGCAGGGTTTCACGTGTGGCTGATATGCAAAAGCGAAAAAGGATATATGTGACGCAATATTAGGCGCTGTGACTATGTCAGGCATAGGTATGGTAGATCTCAAAAGTGAACTGTGGCCATAAGCTAGCCTGACAGCACAAGGAAAGGCACTTATTCCTGGTAGCCGTAGGACCTTGCGTTGCAAATCTTGGGAATTTACAAGCTAAGCAGAATCACACCATGTCAGTATTAAAATGGGAGACCCTCTAAAGAGCACCTAGAGGACTGTGCCGTTTCAAGGCTAAACGACATTGCTCTGTGGTTATTTGAACCATTTGTACCTGAAACTGTTCAGTTTGTTTTCCCAAATCATCCAAGTTAATGTAAAATGGTTCATTGTCCATGCACAGCACTCCCTCCATCCACTGTTGTACCTATATCGGCACAGCAGCCTCCTCTCTGTATTGTGTTTGTTTTCTGGGAGGTGGAGACAGATCTATTGTTTTTAATTAAAACACAAAATGTAAAAGTTTAAAAATATTGTATTGTGTTATGACTACTGTTAAAATATTTAAATTTGTAATTAAAAGGTTAATGTTGTTAAAATTCTAAATAAAAGTATCTAAAGTTTTGCTTGTAATAGGATGCACTGTGTCTTTAATGAGCTGGGGAAGGGGATGCTGCACAAAGCCGAGACTATCTTGAGTTATTACCGTGGCTATGGTTTGGCCAGTGTGGAACTGGGCTGAGAAGGGACGGGGGGCACCAGTGTGAGCGGGCGAGGACAGTGCTCCACGTTGTCAGAGGTCTCGCTAAGGGGTGGGCAGGAGTAGCGTGGGATTGCACCGTTGAGGAGTCCTGAACCAGTGTGCCTGCACCACCTAAACATCTCGTCTGTGCTTGCACAGAGACTCTGTGACTTGGGCTGTAATGAGACAGTCGCAACAACTGGTGCTCACGCATACGTTTGGAGTTGCAGCGATACGCAGAACGTGTTTGCGCTTTTACGAGCACTCCAAGTGTTTATACACTGGTACTGTAAAAACCAAAACTACTAGTGTTCATGCAGCCACCTAGAGGCTTACCTGAAACGGCAGGTGACAGTTCAGTAAGAACCGTTCTTCTCTCTGACGGTCTCAGTTCAAACCCCAGTGCGATACTGGAGGAACTATACTTCTTTAAGAAAAGATACAGAACCCAATCATATCAAATTATCGAAGATGTTATGGTACTGACTAGAAGGAAATTATCAACTTCACTGTTACGACAGGCTACATTTCGCAAAACAGAATTTTTCATTATTGCAGCTGGATAAACTACTGTTTGGGCTGTAGCATGCCACCGTGCGCTGTCCGGCAACCATCATCGCTACAGAGCCGAGTTACAGTCTAGGATCGTTTGCTAAAATTATCAACTTAAATCCTTAAGAACTGAATGCCTAACAGAATGTTACAGCAGAAGAATCCAAAATGAATAGAATTTAGATGCTGAAATGTTTCGCTGTGGCCATGACTCTTGCTAACTGCTTGTACTTTTCAGTTTGTTTTTATCACTAAAACGGGAAGGGAAAATAAGACCACAACAGCTGAGGGAAAATCACTTGTCCTTTTCCTTACCTTACTTTATCTCTAACACCACTCGCTGATTTTTCGCTTTTCGTTAAATGAATGCAGTATATTTGACAATGTTTTTCTTGTATGAAAAACGCAAACAACAGAAGGAAGCAAGAGGGGGAAATTATAGAAATGAATAAACAAAGTGCTCAGAGGCAGAAAACGAGCACCTTTTTTGCCCACAAATCCTGTTCTAGTAATTGTATACGCTACAGTATTAAGTAAAAAAAGTTCAGAAACAAGTTGATTATTAAAATGAAGATAACTCAAGTTTATCAATGTAAGTTCTGCCTAAAAACCACGTTTGTACCATGTTCTTTCTTGTAGCTTCAGAAGAGGAGGACCCTCAAGACATGAGGGCCGGGGACCCAGGGGGAGAGATGGCTTTCCTGGTCCTGAAGATTTTGGGCCAGATGACGCTTTTGACTCTCCAGATGAAAACGCGAGAGGAAGGGACCACGGTGTTCGGGGGCGAGGTCGCGGTACTCTTAGAGGTGAGGGAACGTTCTCCCACGCTGAAATGCAAGGTTGAGGAAGCAAAGACGTTTCTTGGGCAAATTACAATAGTTTCATGAGTACAATGTCTCTTCTTACTCCCATCCCCTGCGTCTCTTGCTGCTCAGGAGGCCGGAAGGGTCTGCTTCCTACTCCAGATGAATTTCCACGTTTTGAAGGAGGGCGGAAACCAGAATCCTGGGATGGAAACAGAGAACCAGGTAAAAATCTGGTGAGGTTTTCTTTAGATATAATAGACTTCTTTAACATAACCGTTCTTTTAAATACATAACTTTAAAAAGTAGCACTTTTTAATTCTGTATTTTACGTGCTTGTTATCGCTCTCTTTACCCCTAGAAAAGCAATACTTAGTTCTTTGAGACTTTCTAAATTTAGGAAGAATTCAACTGGCCAGAATGTGACTGGCTCTACAGTGCAGCTGTCTCAGGGAACAAAAAAGTGATTGTGGCCCTAAAGTCTTGATTTTAACTTCAACTGGTATACAGTTCAGAACTGTCTGTGGTTGCCACCCGTGGGTGACTAAAGCATGTCTTTGTCAGAGCATGTGTTTTTGAGACATATATTAACGCCGTAGTAATCCTTCTCTTTTATGATGGTACCTTCGCTATTGTGGGTTTTTTGTTTTCTTTTTAAAGTTTTCACGTTTTCAGCTACAGTGAGTGACAGCCTACTGGTATTAGTATTTGTTTTACTAACCGTACTAATTACGAATGGGAACCCCTTATAGGAATAAAACTGAGGTTTTGGAGTGTCGTGGAAAATATGCGTACAAATGATACGTGAAAAAAGAAAGATGAATATCTGATTCTGTCTAAAATACATGAAAAGAGTTCATCCTAAAAAGAACGTTTTAGATCTATCACTTTCTCCTTTCTCATCTTCTTTTAAACTGTATTTGTAACCTATCTTCATCGTCTTACCTTGAGCTTTCTTACAACTTATTCATCTGTTTGCTTGTTTGCCTGTTTAGAGAAAAAAACATAATTTTAAGTTACAAAATTGAGGACCAAATAATGTAGAAAGTATGAAAATTTATGTGGTTAATTCCAAAATTGGGAATAATGGTCAGATGAACATTACTTATGATCCTGTTTCTTCTTGTCATGATCAGGTCCTCGTCCAGATCACCCTCCTCACGATGGACATTCTCCAGCTAACCGAGAACGTTCTTCTTCGCTCCAGGGCATGGACATGGCCTCACTACCACCACGCAAACGGCCCTGGCATGATGGACCAGGGACCTCTGACCACAGAGAAATGGATGCTCCAGGTGGGCCTCCAGAGGAGAGAGGGAAAGGTAAGAAGCCTCTACATTGAAAACG